GAAGCGACCCATGAAAACATCAACATTCAGGATCCTCCTTCAGGGTTTTTTATTCATTTTGGTTTTATAAATAAGACAAACCAGTAAGATCTCATGTTTCAGATCAACAGTAACTCACAGCTCACTTTTATTCTGAAATCTGACTATTTGATTTTATTAAACGTTGGGTTGTTCTGATGTTTGTGCAGGTAAAGTACAAGCTGAGACATTTAATTAAAGAAACATCTAAATCATTGTCTGATCTTCAGCCAGTCATGATCTTATAGTCTTATAATCGCTGCCATGTGATTGGCTAATTGTGTAAATAAAGCGATGTATACTTTATTCCCAGCTAGAGAGTGAAACACATTTCTCTGTGAAGCGACCCAGGCTTTATGGAGATCATGTCCATCATGTGAAGTGAGCAGCGACTGACGGGTTTGGTTTGCAGAGTTGAAGCTAAGCTGCGTCTTCCTGCAGCGTCCCGATGGCGAGGCGTTGGAGCGCTGGGACACGGCCACCGCCCAGGAGCAGCTGCTGCTCCTCAGACAGTTCCTGCGCTTCGGAGAGACTCGGCCCATCGTGGAGGAGATGATCCTGCAGCACCTGGAGGGCGAAGCGCTCCTGCCTCACCAGCAGCCAGACGCTCCGCTGAATGACTGGAGAATCGGTTCTCTGAGAGACGCCCGGCCGGCGGACAGCAGCGCTGCCTCAGGAAACGTCCCAGGAGGCCAGTCGGTGCTCCTGCCGTTCCATTTCCCACAGTCAGCCGTCTTCAGCTCAGCACAGGTGATGATTCTTGTCCCTTCATGTAAAGATCCAGAGCATATTTTAAATTTGCTCCTCCTGTTTCTGCAGGAAGCTTTTCCTTCCCCTGAGTCTCAAACCGTCCTGCAGGACTTCAGGAAGAACAAACTGGTTCAGAAACACGACAGACATCGATGTGGGGAAGACCACGGCTCGGTCCGGCAGAGATCAGAACCGGCCTCGTCCATGAAAACCGACCCGGACAAGTCAAATCCGTCACCGTGGCAACAGAACCCCATCCTCCACCACGACCGGGTTTTCCTCCAGAAGAGACTGATCCAGGAGAAAACTGCTTCCTTTTCCTCTTCCTTCAACTTCTCACTTCCACCTTCCTCCCTGATGTGTTCTCCAGTCCCCTCCTCTTCCTCCTCCTCCTCCTCTCGCCTTCCTCAAACGCTTCCCTCCTTCTCCTCCTCTTTCCTCAGGCCTCTTCACTCCTTTTCTTCCCCTCTCCTCCCTGTTACGTCGCCGTGTTCGTCCCTCCATCCTCTCCCGTCTTCCCTTTGCTCCTTCCCTTCCCTCCTGGCGGCTGGAGGGCGGAGGGGCAGGGTCAGCTGTGGCGTCTGTGGGAAAAGCTTCTATGACAAAGGTGAGCAAACGGGACCTGAAGGTGAAAACTTCATAAAAACCAGACAAAATGAGGTCAAAGGTCAGCTCCGTTCAGGGTGAAACAATGTATGAAAGGATAACATATGTCATTACAAACATCCAAAAACTCAACATGAGATCTTTAAAATGATTACAAGATTATTTAACAGAATAATTATAATTGTATAAAAAGTAAAACCAAACTGTTGATAATGTGATAAACATTTAAAGGTCTCTCCTGACTAAGTCCTGGTTATTGGTGAAGATGTTTAGAGCTGCAGACTGTAACTTTTATAAAATATATTTTTACTTATTTGTTAAACGGTTGTGACAGTTTATGAGACAGATAATCTGTGAAAACATCAATTTTTCCATCTCCTCCCTGAAAACAACCAATCAGCCAGGAGGCGGGGCTTAGTGCTGTCAATCATACTCATGCACTCGCTACTAAATGTGATGACTTACCATCAGTGTCCATGCTAACTAGCATAGCATTTACGACAGGCTGTGCTAGCTGCAGCGTAGTACATAGAGAAGGGTGGAGGATGAGAAGCACCAGACGTAGGATGATTGACAGCACTAAGACCCGCCTCCTAGCTCTGATTGGTTGCTACTAGTTAGCACTGGGATAAGGAAGAGGAGTTCAATGTTTTCTCAGATTGTCTCATATCAGATCATGTCACAACATGATGACAGATTCAACAAATATGTAAATAAATAAAAGTTCTTTGAACTGAACAAACATCCAGACGCGTTTGTGCTAAGCTAAATAAAATGATCGATGCTAACAGCGTTTCGTTTGCTGTGTTTGGACAGGAACCCTGAAGATCCACTACAACGCCGTCCACCTGAAGATCAAACACCGCTGCACCGTTCTGGGCTGCTCCATGGTGTTCAGCTCCCTGCGCAGCCGCAACCGGCACAGCGCCAACCCGAACCCGCGGCTGCACACGGCCGGCAGCAGAGACGCTCAGCCGTACCGAAACACGCTGTGTGGGCAGAGCAGCGCTCACGCTCCAACACAGAGACACCGAGAGAAACAGGAAACACAGGGAAGCAGGAACGATGATTCCTCTCACAACGCGCCTCGGGAAGCCGCCTCCCCGACTCCGCCTCTCGTCCCTCCAGCTCCGCCCTCTGGGGCCTTCCCGCCCTCAGGGGCCTTCCCGCCCTCAGGGGCCTTCCCGCCCTCAGGGGCCTTCCCGTCTTCACTTACTGACCTGCAGACTGGTCAGCAGTGGTGGCAGAAGAATCAGTCCTTACCACAGAAGAAGAAACCCAGGAAGTCAAGCATGCCACTGAAAATAGAAAGAGAGAATATTCAAAGCAGCAAACATGAAGGCGAGAGCTGAAAGACTCTGAAATCTTGTTTTCAGTAATAAAAAATTGAGCAGGAGCTTCAGTATGTCACAGCTTTGAAATGATTCTGAATTCACACATTTTTGCACTTTTACAAATATGACGTACTTTGTGTCCACTGGCTGTATTTACTTGTAATTATTCAATGATAAACTTCATATATCACACCTGAAACTCATTTTATAAACCTTTCATCAAATTACCAACTGCTAACTTAATACAAAAATTCAAATTTAGGATTTAATGAGAAGTGAAAGTGCAAAGAATCATCTTCATACTTTGTTGTTACCATGGCGACCATCAGATGCTGTCAGTAATCTTTGTGTTTGAGCTGAGTTTGTTCACAAATGCATCAGCAAATAAAACCTAATTAACAGTGATTGTTGTGTTAGCTCGACCAATTAAGCTGCTCCGTCTCCCAGATTTCACCAAATCTATATTTAAACACTGTTAGTGATGCTGATGTTCTTAGTAGGAAGAGGGGCCTCTAAAGCAGATTCTGCCTCAGGCCCCATAAAACCTCGGGCTGGCCCTGCATGCCGAGCTAGAACCGCTGCGCTGCGCATCAGGCCCTGCGCATTGGGGGGCATTGCCCGCCCACAGAGTCAGCAGGTCCCCCCCTGGACCGGAAGCTGTTTGTTTTTAATAAGTGGCCAACTCTCTGTTATTCCTATATCGATTTGATACAGTAGGGGCTTCCACACTTCCCATATCTGTTCCCTCTGTCACTTTGCTCAGCAGTTAAAACTGCTTAATCCGTTTTTAACACGTCGTAACCTGTTTTTCTGAGCCGCCTTCAAACGCAACATGAGCGCTAAGTCGCTCGCGCTGGGTTTCCACCTGTGAAGGAGACCTGCTGCTGCTGGGCGGAGCTACAGGTGTGTTAGAGTTCAGACACTGAGTTTTTCAGATGCCAACCAGCTGATCCAGTCCTGAAAATGTTACTCTGTTGCCATGGTTACCCAGGACAACGGACTGCTCAGCATCCAGAACCAGAGCAGAGTAGATGTCCCATCACATATCTGGACCATTGCACTCCGGAACTGAAGGGGGCGCTATTTCCTGTATTATCAACAGGTTACACTTTGTTTTTCTTTTGAAAATTGTATTCCAGTATCTATAAAAGTTCATTTAATACAACAGCTTAATTCACTCAGTAAAATACATTTAGAATGTAAAACAAGTTTTAACACTTTATTTATGTTCTTGATGAAGATATTCTGCTTACAGACGACAAAAGATTAGAATATTACATCAGATTAATAATTAATCTGCCACTTTGTGCTCACCTTCCACCAGCAGAGTTCTGGGTGTGCGCTGAAGAGGAACATTTTCATTTGCAGAGTTTGCAGTTTTCCTTTGACATGGATCCCAAAATTCAGACGTCAACATGAGACCAGAGCTGATGACCTCATGACCTGCTGCGACGAGCAAGAATAACCTTCAAGATTTAGGGAAGGGTCATGAAGGGGTCACAGTACTGCTGCAGCTCTGACCAGGTGAATAATCAGGTTCTGCTGTGGAGCTTCAGGCAGCAGAAAATACGCCCACCGCTGTAATGTGAGTTATTCACCTGGTGGGGGAGCAATTCACCCCGAGGCCCCAGGGTCAGAAGCCCCCACCCCTGATGGCCGTTTTCATGACCCCATCATTTAGCTTGGTTGAAATAAAATGTCCAAATGTAAAACGTTATGTGGACTGCACATTCTTGCAGATGTCAGATGAAAACCTCCAGCTTCCTGCTGCTGCTCTCATGTGGTGGAACGTCTGTTTGACGTGCAAGTTCAAAAAATAACCAGACAGAAACGAGAGTGACCACTTCTATTTCAGCATTTACATGCAAAGGTACCTAAATGAGACACATGCAGCACTTAAAATGTGACGTTCTCACTCTGTAGTACATAAAATAAATTCATTTAAAGTTGTGCTGTCATCAGCACTGCCCTGTAGTTTAGTTTTGTTGCCAAGTTTTAAAAAAAAACAAGTTTGCTACCATGTTTTTTTTGCCTTCACATTTATTCATGAAATTTGATAGCAAACAGTCAGAACATGAGAAAAATTCAAATACATTCAAATGCTTCTGTGATTTTACGTCAAACTGAGAAAGACACTCAACAAGGACAGGAAAAAGGCATATTATACAAATTAAACTTTTCTAACATGTTTATGAATCATCACTTGGGTCCTGCATCCTGAAGGCGTTTCCTCGTTACGCCTTTTCTGACGTGGGAACTCCTGAATTAAAACACCTGAGGATGGGAAACACTCTCCTCTTCTGAGAACTACACAGCCGTTCCCTTCATTTAGAGCGGTTTGTTTTGGTAGTTGACCAGCAGGCAGGCCACTGTAAATAGTTTATTAATGTTTCCAGCCATAGATAAAGGGATAACAGAATCAAACAGTTTGTTTTCTTTAACTCTCCGGGTTACCCGCTCAACGTGAACGCGCAGACGGGCGACTTTCTGTGCCTGCAGGACGTTTTGAGACGCCATCTGTGGTTTTGGGCTGAGAAAAGGTGGACAGTACACCTTACACTTCACACAGCCAGAGATCAGGAATCCTTTATCCACCATGACGGCCATGTCTTCAGTAAGACGGTCAGCCAAGCCCGACCTCAGAAACAGCTCCGTGTCACTTACTGACCCCTCATAGAGTGAAGACACAAAGGTCACGGCACCGTGGGGAGCCACTCCCATCAGACCTCTCATTACGCACTGAGACTTGGATTTGGAGGACATGTCAGTGTGGAAGAGAGCAGAAGCAGGAGTTTGGCATCTGAGCTCAGAGCATCCAACTATCACCTGAGTATCTGGAAAATCTCTGAAGTCCTCTGGGAGCTGAGCTCGGATGGCGTCTGCATCGATCCAGATGCACAAAGAACCCAGAAGAGAGTACAAATAATCGGCCCACGAACAAATAATGCGGCTTGCAGTGGAAGGGTGAATCTGGAACCGGTTTGCTAGGTCTCCTTCCTGCAGACCTGCAGCCAGGTACATCTGGAACAGGAGCAGCTCGTCGATGGGCTGCAAGGAATCCTTCTGGAAAAAGAAGAAACAACAGCAGACAAACAGTTAAAATACACAAATATACACTTTTATTTACCTGCTTAATTATTTAAAAAAAAGAAAACAAGTAACCAGTAGAACAACATGAACAAAATTATTATCTTACCACCACTTTTCTGTTTGAAAGCAGCAGGAAGAAGCAAACCCTTATTATCTCAACTACATCACTGAACCACTCAATTATCAGAAACTGAAAACGAAATGTCTGGAGATGACGCGTTCTAGTATAATCTGTGGTAAAACGCCCGTTTCCTGCCGTCTTGCGGTGTGTGCTGCGTGCTTCCAGAAGCTGCAGATACGAACCGTGTGTGTTGATCTGACAGCAGTTCCTGCTTCGCTGCTTCCCTCAGCGGCTCCTGATGAACGAATCATTTTATGGACAGACGGTTCAATGAGCCTCCAAAACATCAGGAAGAGGCGATAACTCTCAAATCTGTTGGTCCAGAACGCAGAAACAGGAGATTATTCAGTATTTCACTAAGAAGAGCCGAGAATAGAGCTACTTCAAAAGAAAGAATTTTAGTTATTTTGTTTTATGTTAGAAATAATGCAAAAATACTTCCAGTAACATTATATAATGCTTATTTTTACTTGATCTCCAACATTAGTTTAAAACAATAACAAGTGCGACTTTAGTGAACTGTAAACGTGTTTACTGCATTTTTGGGTTAAAATATAATTCAGTTAAGAAACTGGAGGCGGGGTGAGTAACCAAAATAAAAAATAAAATAATTTGCAGTGTTTGAGCTCACCTGGTGTAGAACCGGATGTCGTCATCGGATCCTACGAACCTTTGTAATCCAAAACTGGATGGGATTTTCAGTTCTTCGACTTGTTTCTTTATTTCTTCTTTTAAAGTCTCATTTTCATTTCCTGCCGTGTCCAGGTCGGCTGGTTCTGGGACAGAGCAGTAATCATGATCCAGGAGGCTGAATCCTACGGGCGGGTCAGCGGCTCGGCCGTCTGGGTCAGGCCTGCTCTCCGGCTCCTGCTGACCGGCTCTGGGAGGCTGGACGCTCTGGTGGCTCCAGGGAAACAACACAGGGACGGCTCCTCTCTTCACCATCCGTCTGCCCCCGGCAGCTTTAGGCTGAAGCAGCTGATCCGGAGTGAAGTGAAGGCTGCACACTTTGCTGTGCAGCGTTAGCTTCAACTTGTCCCGCCGAATAGTTACAAGCCACTGCCTTCTTAACTCAGGGTGGCTTGGAAATCCGTGAAAACTTAACAGTCCGTTATATTTGGAGGAGGCTGTGCACTGAGGAACGCAGCAGTGCTCATGGTACTGCTTCGTCTGCTTCTGAAATATCACTTTGTCTTTCCTAGCAGTCATGGTTACTCAAAACGGAAACAAGGAAGTCGCATTTCGCTCTTGCGGATGTGACGTCGCACCGTACGCGCGACGTCACATCCGCATGTGTCTGTGAATGGGACATGCTGAGACAGAAAAAAGCCTCCTGGACGTAGGCAGGTATAAACATATCGGCTACAGCAGTCAGTCAGTTTTCTGAGGGTTTTTAATCTGGTGACGTTGAGATGCCTGAGATTTTCATGCTTTTGGTTGATTGACTAAAATTCTGGTCGGGAAGTTGAACCTGAGCAGACGGGAAGAGACACGAGCAGCGGGCAGAAATGCTTCGTCTCAACAGACTCCAGGTCCGATCTGGTCCGTTCTGGTCCGGTCCAAACGGTGACCGGTGACACCGGCCTGCCGTCTGCTGCTCTGCCCGGCAGAGAGGCGTCCTGCCCGGGTTCTGCTGCGGCGCTGATCCGGTCAACTGCAAAACAACCTAAATATCAACCAATAGATACAACTAATTTTAAAACAACTATGTTTTATCCACAGCACATACATAATATAGTTTTAGAGTAATTTAGAGAAAATAACATTTAATATTTTATAATGTAGGACTGAAGAAAATCATGTTAGCTTTGAAAATGTACATTCATGTAAGATCATTCCAGTTTATCTTGTGCAGTTTTAAAATAATTTAGAGAAACTGTGAATATGTATTAAAACTACATCCCTGATATAGTTTTTATCCCAATAACTATTCTGGGGATAAACTGGCTTGATGCTGAACTGTTTCTCCAGCCCTGAGTTTTATGGAGAGCAAATTGTGCCAAATGACAATAAACTAATTATTTAAATGTGTCTTTTAAATGGGTCTTTTGATCCATCTTTAAATAATACAAGTTTATTAATAAATTGCTTACTGAAAAATGTACAATAAAGAATCTGAAATATGTTTTTTTTAATTTCTGATTAATTTATGCAAATATAAGTCAACAAGTCTTAATAAAATGTTCAGATTTAATTTAAATTTCAATTCAAATCATGAACTTCCTGAACAAACTGAACTTTATCTCCTGGTCAGGATCCAGAGCTGCAGATCGTCACCGTGTTGAGGAGGAGAAATGGAGCAGAACAGAGAGGCTGTGGGACCGGATAATTCCTGGAGCGAGGCTCAAACTCTGGCTGGTTCTGAGGAGAGGACGGGCTGCAGGCCCACATTTCAGGACCAGAACCAAGAACCATTTGGAGAAAGAATAAAATGATCCAGCAGGGATCAGGATGAGATGAAGGTGTTTAACATGTTTCATGTTTCCAGCAGGTTCTGGACCTTCAGAACCAGCTGGTCTGGACTCCAGGTCAGCCACCTTCAGCAGCCGCTTCACCAAACTATGAAGAACCAGACGGGGAACCTCTGAGTCCCTGAGATCCACTAGACACGTTCTGTCTGAGCATCCATGAAAAATAATAAAACAAGAGTTATAAAACTTAAAGCTGCTTTCAGCTCACTGATGAACTGCTGATCATCTGAAGCCAAGCAGAGATCCGAACTGATTGGTTGATCCAAACCAACCAATCAGCAGATGGAGCCTCTCATTACATTCATGCATTATGAAAATGCATCGATAAGAACAGGAAAAACTAAATATTTATACATTTGTTGTCAAAAATGCATGTATGAGGAAAAGGCTAAAGAAAATGTGTTAAAAATAAATGAAAAATAAAATGTTTTAATTTCTGCTTTTATCCTTAATTATGTCAGTTTTGGTTCTCCATAGTTCTTCCCCTAATCATTGAAAATTATTATTATTATTATTTTATTATTATTATTATTGTACCTGCAAATAGAAATCTGGATTTAGTTTGGATTTGCAGCAGATTGATATTCAGTGTTTTATGCAATAATGATGCAGATTCATCCCTTCTCTCCTTCCTCTCATCCTTTCTCTATCTCGCTCTGTCTCTCTTTCCCTCTCCCTCTCTTTTTTCTCTCACTCTCTCTTTCTCTGGGCGGAGAAATGAAAAGTGGGAGGCGTGTCTGTCTTGCTCTTCACGGAAGAGAGCCGCAGAGTCTGAACCTCCGCGTCCGACAGGCGCAAGGACGAACCGGGACCCCCTGACTCCGGACCCATCGCGGCCACAGGACGGGTTCTGGCCGGGCGGCGCAGCGACATGCCAGCCAGGCGCGCCTGAAGCCGCGCAGACCGCAGCGCAGCTCCGGGAGGACGGACAGGAGACATGGCCCACGTCGGCAACGGGGCGGCCGCCGAGGAGGAGGTGAGATCCCGCCGCTATCACGTTTCAGCCGGTCCCGTCCCTCCGGAGGCTCCGGTTACATCCCGGCTGGTTTCCTCCTTTAAATTCTCCCAAAAACCCTCCGGAGCCGGGATGTCACATCCTGTTCCTGACAAAACCTTCACTCATCGTCTTCAGCTGCTCTGCCTCACATGTTCTGTCAAATATTACCGTTTAAATGTAAATAACGAGGTAATAAACCAGACTGATTAAGAAAATACACACCTTTTTAAACGAGTTACGTAAACCTGACCAGGCTGGTTTTGAAACACATTTTCCTTTAATGTCACACCTTCTTATTCTTTGGTACATAGAAAAAAACACAGATATCCTTCCACACACTGTAAAAACACTGAAATAATCACAGATTCTCACTTGTAATTTTAGCAAATTTCACCCAATTTAAATTAAGTTTGGATTAAAGGTGCTGTGTGACAGATGTAGTGCCCTCTAGTGGTAAAGATGGTACATTACTCCAGGTTAAATTCCCTCCACTTATCAATGTGGAACTGACTGAAAAGTAGAAACGTTTTATTAGATAAAAATTAATTGAAAATATTCCTGCTGAGTCACGTTTTGGTTGTTTCTGCTTTAACGATTTAACTTTAAGGTTTGACGACATCCTTGTCACCAACCTCTTGCAAAATGGCTGCTTGAATGCTAATACTGCATCCATTTAGAAGAAACATGACAGCGTTTAAAGTCAAAATAATCCAGAGTTCTTCTGTAAATCCACATGCTGACATTTTTCTATTAAGTTTGAGAAATTAACTTAAATAGAAAGATTTTTTTTTTATCTGATTCACTTCCTTCCCGTTCGTTAGAGTCAAGATTTTCCACTTCCTCTTGACCTACTTACTATTTCAATGTCAGTCAGAAACGACTGCACAGCTCTTCATGGTTACATGTAACAGAAAAGCTGAGATGTTTTCTGTGGCTGCTGCCCGTTGAAGCAGGATTCGGGGCAGATCTCTGTTTCTCTCCATGGTTTAATGTGTAGTTGTGCTCTAGCTGCAGCCGCAGGGCTAAAATGGGAAAACCCAGGAAAAACGATCCGGGAGGCTTTTCTTTTCTAATTAACCCGGTTCAGACGAGAGCGGAGTGACTGACCACGCTTAGCAACATGCATGCAGTCAGTTCTCATTCAGAAAAACTAAAATATATGGGACAGAAATACTGTACATAGAACTTCAACTCAAAATAAAAGAACTGAAACAAAACAGGATGGAAGAATCAGTAAAAGGTTTTTCACAAAATCTCTGACAGATGAAAAATCACAAGAATGCACTGCAAAAACACCAAATCCTAACAAGTATTTTCAGTCTAGTTTATGGTGCAAATATCTTATTACACTGAAAATAAGACAAATCTAAGTTATAACTAGCTTTCATCAAGATGTAAGGTATTGTTTTAAGTCAATAATTTCTTAATATCGATTTTTTAAAAGTACTACTTCCACTGACAGATTATTTCACTTATAATGAGGGAAAATGTCTTGTTATTACACAACGCTGGACTTTTTTCTCGAGTTAAATTTTTGTTTTAGCCAAAGATCCACCAGAAACAGACACACAGCTTCTGTTAAAGTTTCACCAGTTTTATATTGAAAGAAAGAAACTGACATTTATTTTGCCTGATGTTATTTTTTGTTACTAATATGAATTATTGTCATTTTCGTTCTTAAAATAGCAAAATTTCCACTTAACTTTACACTTTGGTCTGTATGATGATGTAATTTTTAAATATTTAATGGTAGCAGTATAATAGACTTTTTACCAAATACCTTTTCAGTTATTTTTTGGACGACTACTTTTTACTTTAACTGAGTGAAAGGATGTAGAAGCAGCTCTGCTCCTATTAGAGGGTTTAATGTTCAGGTTCTCTGTGAAACTGTTTGTCATTGTGACGTTTTTTGAAGACTTATTGTGTGAACAAACTTAGTCATGTCATTTTTATTTAATGTCTTATTTAACAGAAACACCACAATCATCAGCAGAATATAGACACAGATCTGTTTGTAGTGGAAATGCTCTTCTGTCGGCCCGGGTTTCATATTTGTGCATCGATCCTCATAGAGCTCATAAAAGACTGACAGGAAGTCGTGGCTCTTTGGACGAAGTCCATGCAGCGTCCGGAGCATCCGGAGCGTCCGGAGCATCCGGAGCGCCGGAGAGTCCGGAGAGTCCGGAGCGTCCGGCCTCCCATCTTTAGGTTTTAGTACAGCTTATATGAGGCGCAGTGTCTCAGCCCCTCGTCTGCATCAGGATCGTTTCCTGTGCTTATTTTCTCCGTCTTCTTCTTCTGTGGCTCATTTATTCCTGTTTCCACTGAGAGCTGCTGAAATGAATCCGGCTCAGGTGAGCCGTTCACAGCCAGCCGATTATTAAACTGATCCATCAGCAGCGTGTAATCAGCTTTCAGTGATAGTGTCAGGTCCTGGCTGTGTGTGTGTGTGTGTGTGTGTGTGTGTGTGTGTGTGTGTGTGTGTGTGTGTAAATACCAGAGCTGATCCAGCCACCAGCTGTTTGCATCAGAACAACATGGCGACTCGTTCCTGTTGTCTTCCTGTTCATCCTGTCTGAACCTGAGAAATGTTTCAAACTGAAGGATTAAAGTTTAACTGGTTTTATCAGACTGTCTGGTTTCCCAGCTGCTTTGTTCTGTTTAAACTGGGGGTGTGCCAGTTTACCTCAGCGCCGGTGTGGTTTTTTACATTAATTATAAACTAGAGGGAGTGTTTACTTAGACTTATGTCTGAATTAAAGGATCGTCTAAGAAGCTTAAGAGACAAAACACTCGTAGTTTCAGATTAAAGGACATGTTTCCTGTTGCTTGGAAAATTAGGGAGATTTTTAATATTTGTTTTGATTAAATCTGTACCACCAATTATGTTTTAACAGGATTAATGTTAAAATCTGAATAAATCTCAAGTAATGATGTCAAATTTGAATTCAATTTATACTTTTAAGCTGAAAATACAAAATCTAATTTTAAATATAACCAAAAGAAACTGAAAACATAAAATCCTCCTTAAGGCTACGGAGACACATTCCTGCACATGAACAGTTTTACTTTATCTCTTAGTATTTTCTTCCATTTGGAAACGATTTTCCACAAACTGGAAATATTTCTGATACGTTTTGTGGCTTTAACTCTGCAGAAAGTCTCTTTTTCTGCAGGTTTTATGATGTTAGTCTTGGATTATCTTGGATTATCTGGTGATCTGCCTTCAGATCCAGACTCTGTTTTGTTAGAATGAAGTTTATTTTATTTGCCTGTGAAATGTAACGAGAATAAAAAACCAGAAACGGAACGATATTTTTTTCTTCAGCTCGGCTCTAATCTGATCTCTGGAAGCTTCATTCAGGCTCGTCGCGTTTCGGGGGAACTCAGCTGACGCTCGTTAAGCTCAGGAATGTGAGACTAACTGAGTTTATGGAAACTGGGATAAAGGTTCTCGTTGCTGACGCGGCGCAGAAACGCCATAAAAACACAAAGACACCAATTAACTATGTGCACAAAACGCTGTTCAAGTGTGCAGTGCCATGACCTTTGACCCTTTGCCAACTCAGGCCACTTTACCTACACAACTGACTTATAAATCTAAAGACATGACAGAAATATGAGGTTGAGTCATAATCTGTGTGAAAAACATGATCACTCATAAAAACAGCAGAAAAACTTTGGTGCAAATTTGCTGAAAACAATATTTTATATTTTATATGTTGTTAATCTGCCAAAATGTTTAAAAATGTGTTTAGCTGCGTTTATTTCTTCACATTTTTAGTCGATTCCATGAATAAAAGATTTCTAAAAAACACAAATTTGGTGTTTGTAGAGATTTTCTGAGTAAAGTTGTTGGCAGAAAGACTTTAGTTTCACATTGCAGGATTATTAAACCCTGAACTGACATTAATTTGCTTTTTGAACTTTGAGATTCTCTGGAATAGAAAAATGACGAGACAGGTTGACGTGTTTCCGTCGACGTTTTTATTCACATTTTGACGTTTCGCAGCAGAAAAGGTTGAAATGACAAAATTCAAAAATAACTTTCTCACTTTTAGGTTTTTACTGTCGCTTGAGAGGTTTATTTGTTTTTCTGTTTGTTGAATTTTCAGAAAAAGAGTCGATGCAATAAAGAGAAAACGCTGGATAAGTTCTGACATCGCAGACGCTGCCGGTCGCTGACGGCTCTTTGCCTTACCAGAGACACGAAACATCCATGCATGGCATCAACATCTGACGTTTTATTTCTGTTTTAGTCCTTTTTACTTCTTATTAACAGCTAAGAGAAAACTTTAGCTTACTGTCAACAGACAGAGAGCTTGAAGTGATGAATGGTGACAGAATTTGGCTTCTTTAGCAGAACATCCTTTAGTTTCCTGTTTGATTCTGTACCTTGGATTGTGTTGAGTTTGAGTTGGTTTTCTGTCAGTGAAGAGAAGAATAGATACGTCTGCTGCAGTATTAGACGGTTTTTAAAGATAAGACCAAGTGTTTAATCCTTCAAATGGGTCAATAAGATCCCACCACACAGGACAAAGTTTCCTCCGGATGTGTGAGAAAGTTTATTCCTCTTTTGGGAAGAATAAAACCTTTGTCTGGTTTCCTCTGGGCTTTTGAAGTCTTTGCTTCTGGTCCTTCCTGGTGGTTTATAGAGCATGTGGCCGGTAATCGGACGCAGCATGAAGGTCCTGACTAATTAATGAAAGGTGCAGCTGTTACTGGAGAACCTGTCTGTCTCTGAACGCTCCGTGTTTCTAAAGGTGCAGTGCCTGGTTTTATCTGTTTCCTCTCTGGTCTTAACTCATAGTTACCATCTTGGTCACTTAGTAACTGGATTACTAGTTAGTAATCCAGTTGATGCTTAGACACTTTAAGAGGGATGCTGGTCATTTTAAAGCTCATATGTAAAGATGAAAGAATTTAGATGTGTGAATTTACCGGTTCTGCACTTCTGCAGAGTGAAAGTACTAAATTATTGTTGTAATTAAAAATTAGTTGGAACCCCCTCCGTCTGCCTCAGTCTTTGTGCACCGTCTGCAGCTCCACCCACCTGGCATGATGTTGGTGGTCAGAGGGCCTGATGGCGCCGATACAGTCGCTTTTGTGAATGCATGAATTAATGAGTTCATAACCTACCTTCTTACCTGCCAAACTACCTCATTACCAGCCTATCTAGTTCTCTACCTACCCACCTCACTATTTACCCCCTGGTAGATCGTTAGGTCAGATCTACCTGCCCCCTAACCTGGCAACCAACCTGTTGACCTGGCAACCAACCTGTTGACCTGGCTACCAACCCGTTGACCTGGCAACCAACCTGTTGACCTGGCAACCAACCTGTTGACCTGGCTACCAACCCGTTGACCTGGCTGTCTCTATCTCCTGACTAGTTACCCTTTGACCTTGTTACTTTCCCATTCAAAGGAAGACAGGTACTTACCTTTTCTCCTGGTTAGCTGGTTCCTGACCATCTACCCCCTGACCCGGCCACCTAGCTCAGTAGCTGCCTACCTGTCCATTGACTGGCCATCTTGCTTTCTACCTGCCTGTCCTACTGGGATATCCAGCTAACTAGCTATACTTGCTAATCTAGCTGTACCAACACCTAAATCAGAGCTTCGTCGTCTCCTCCCTGTCCTGCTCACAGGTCATCAGCGTCCGGTTGTTAGAGACTTGTGTTGTGTTGTAACATGCTGGCCTGGCTGATTCAACAACAGTTGCCTGTTTTTAGACGCACACAGTAGGAGCTTATGGTGCTGCTGTGAGGAATGCTGTGAATGCTGGAAGCAGACTGAAACCTGACAGTCTGCTTTAACAGACAGGAAGTGATGCGTCTGAAACGAGGGTGTGAAAGCGACTGTTTGGACGGAATTATGATTAATGTTTCCTGAAAGTATTCTGAGAAGTGTGTGTGTGTGTGTGTGTGTGTGTGTGTGTGTGTGTGTGTGTGTGTGTGTGTTGTACTTGTTTTTAATGGTCAGTCCAACAAAATAAAGCTAATTGTAGCACACAAAAGCACATTTATTATTTTGAACTGAGCATATTGAACATATTTTATTTGCTTTTTAAACCCAACATATTTTGTCTACCAACCCGTTGACCAGGATAAGATAGAAAATATCATTTCTGCTTTTATTTAATTTGTCCTTCAGTTATTTAGAAACATTTCTGAGAGCATGCTTTAGGTTGCTGTTGCTTTACTTTGTTTTCTGGTTGTTTTCTATTTCTGAAGCTGTTTTTGTCTCTAGCATGTTGGCTAACTCTGACTTACTCCTGCTAGCATGGAGGCTAAAGTTAGCTTAAATGCTACGTTTAGCTTGTTGACGTACATTCACTGTCTCCTCCTTCACTCTGTTCACTGAGTGAATTACCAAATATGTTTCTTTTATGTGTTTTGTAAGAACTTTTAAATACCTTTGTAGAGATAAATCCTTTATTTTTAATCTATAGAGCTGCAACAGATTGATTTGGAGGTTGTTTTGTTTTGTTTGGTTTTTTCTTTATCAAAATGTAAGTTTTGTGTTTATTTCCATTTTTGTAGCTTTTGTACCATTTTATAAGACATTATTCTTTGTTAAATGTTTTCTGTGTCTTTACATTTTCAGAATTATGTGTTTAATCTTGACTGAGCTCAGGTTTAGAAATGTCCGTACTGCTTGCATCATGTCCACAGCTCCCTGCAGTTTGACCTGTTTATGCACAGTGAGCAGATTCATATTGAGTGTTTCCCTTCGATGCGCGGCTGATGGCTGAGGCCGGCTGTGCAGCGCGGCTGGTCTGGACGGTGGAGGCTGGATGGCTGCAGCCTGCAGGCAGAGTTCCTCTTTATGAGGCTGTGGCTGCAGCTGGATGCGGTTATGTAAGGAGCTGCTGGACAGCTATTATTAGCCTGTTACTGAGGCTCTGAAGAAACACTGTGAGGTTTACTTTACTCATGTTGAAGCCGCACAAATATGCTTTGGGAAAATCCATACAGGTGGAGGTGGGCAGGATGGTTTTGTATTTGAAAATGAAATGCAGATTAGTTTTGAGCAAAACAGAATATTTTTGTGTAACGATTTCCTCTCTAAGAGTGAAAACTAAGATTTGAAATGTGAGACTCTGGTTTTCTGAGGACTTTGTTTACGAGCTTTGCTTAATTTGCATCATAGCAGATCCTTTAGCGGTTTGCTTTCCGGACCAGGTCACGTCTCCAGCCGACACCCTGCACACCCAAACTGTTACAAAATGCTGCAAAGCAAAGGTTTTACTGTAGAGGGAGGCAGCCATTTTGGTTCAAAGGGTTATTTTTGGTATTTTTTGATATTTAGACACCGTGAGGGATTAAAAGTTATCAAAATGTAATGTGTGTTTCAACATTTCACCAAAATATGTTGTAGCAGAGGGTTTGTGCTGAGCTGTGATGATCCTGTATCTAAAGTGTTTGATCCATTTGTGAGGATTTTTCGTGAAGCAGAGCAGCTAGCTCACCTCAGTGTTTCTGTTTCAGGACTGCTTTGAGGATGCCTTCGATCGGATACCTTCGTAAGTACGCACTTACTAACACACAGTGTTATAAGAGCTGAAAATGTCTCTCTGTGTCGTTTTCACTTCCTGTCAGGCTGCAGTTTCTCCTTCTGTCTCTTGCTTTGTCACTTTCGGTGTTGATTGGTCAGTGTGTGTTTGTTCTTATGTCATGTGAGGACCAGAACTTGACCAGACCAACTGGGCCACTTTTATAAAACTGTATTTTCTTGTAATTTTGTTATTTTATGTCAAAGTCTTGAATTAAATTTAGGTTTACTCACAATGTTAGTACAAATAGTTATGTGCAGTACACATCTTTTGCCTTTCACACGTTTATAAATGCGTTGTTTCTCAGTATTGTTGAGTTTTACGCATACCGTGATCTGTGGGCGCCCCCTGGTGGTCCGCCAGGTACTGCATATAAATGATGCATACAACAGTGAGAGCTGTTTCTTAAAACATAAAGTTTTAGTGTTTAGTCTGACTGTAAAACTTTATGTTCTTGTGTTTGCCAATATATCCTAGAATGTTGAGAACTAGAGAGCTGCTGCGTCCGGGTGCACAAAGACGCAAAGATCACAGATCCTTCCCCCCATCACTGTTAGAAAACAAGACACTAGAGAGCAGTGAGGGTTATAAAATCTAACAGACTCTTCCTGTGCGGTTGGTTTCATTTATCTCCGTGTGTGTGTGTGTGTGTGTGTGTGTGTGTGTGTGTGTGTGTGTGTGTGTGTGTGTGTGTGTGTGTGTGCGTGCAGGGCTTGTCAGATGGACCTGCAGACTGCCATCCAGGAGACTCAGTGCGCTCTCAACCTCGTCCTCAACAACAGGTTCTCTCAGGCTCTGGACCTGCTGAAGCCGTGGTGAGGCTCTTTTCAAACTCGTGTTGATGTCGGAAAAATAACCTAAAGTAAATCCCAGATGTTTTTCTAGGGGGAATCCTGTGTGAAAATAAATTTCCCTTAATCTAATTGCTGGTTTCCAGCTGATGACCAACAATGAGTCTTTTATTGTGAAAGGAATTTAAACACATTCTTCTTCCTCCTCTTCTCCTTTGCTGAATTGTTTTAATTCACCCATTGGAGGTTTTCAGGATTTAACTGGACACCCACCTTCCATAATTATAGATAATTAAACTATTCAGCATCCTGTTGACTTCCTTGTTGTTTTATTCCTTGTGTCTTTATTTTTTCATCTTTTTCTATCCCTCTATCATTTTATCCTAAATCCCTTATTCAAAACCTTTCCTTGTGTTCTTCCTAAATTGTATTCTCCTTTCTTCTATTCTTTGTTGTTTATCTTGTTTTTTTTTTCTTCTCTGCTTCCTTGCCACAATTCCTCCTTTCCTTCCGTCCCTCCTTGCGTCCTGTCACCTCCTTTCTTTCCTCTCCTGGTTGGAATCAAACCAGTTCCTCACTGGTTCCTCCCCTCCATCAGAACTGGTCGTCGTTCCATCCCTGAACCGGCTCCGGTCCCGTTTTGGGTCGCTGTGTTCAGGTTCTGCGGTCCTAACCGACCCGTTGTGTGTTCAGGTGGAAGCACAGCATGTACCACGCTCTGGGCTACAGCAGCATCCTGGTCATGCAGGCCACCATGACCTTTGACCAGAAGGACATCCAGACGGCCATGGAGACCATCAAGCAGGCGCTGCAGACCTGCCACCGGTAAGATGGCCGCCTTTAACCTGACCGCCGCCAGGAACAAACGTCACATTTCACATCAACACGCATCAGAACTGTGGGTCAGTTTCAGCTGAACTCTGTTCTGATAAAGTCCTGAACTGGTTTCCATCTGATGGGTTTGATGGTACCGGTGAGTCGGCCCAGTTTGGCTGAAGTATCGTGAACTACATCCAGTTCCTCTGACGTTTATACGTCTGAAGCTTTTTCACATCTTTGGTTACAGAAACAAACTTCACTGCATTTCGTTTGGATTTGATGGAACCAACACAGAGTTGTACATATTTGTGACGCTAGGCGGCGCCATTTTCACTCAAGCTCAGTCAGATTGGTTGGATTGAATCTGTGAATGTCAGTTTTCAAGGCTTCTCACAGGTTTCCACTTATATTTAGACTTTAACTAGACCGTTCTGATGCATGAAGATGCTCTGAACTAAACCATCCAATAATAATCTCCACCAGTTGTCCTGCTGGAAATCTGGACTTCATGCTAGTCTGCAGTCAGTTAGCAGGTTTCTCTCCAGCATGATGCAGCCACCACCATGTTTCAGCCTCTGGACGGTGTGTTCAGGGACACTGGGTCGACTCCTCTGTACCTCTGAGTTTGTACCGAGATAAAAATGTTGCATTTTGGTCTCATGTGACCAGAAAACCTGCAGCAGGAACCAAAGACTCTGAAATGTTTCTGCAGGTTCAGAAAGAGAAACTCGGTGGTCGTTTCTCTGTCCAGCCTGATCAGCAAGCAGTCCAGCTTACAGGAAGGTACGAACCACTGGTTTAACTGGGAACCACTGGATTTAACTGGGAACCACTGGGTTTAACTGGGAACCACTGGGTTTAACTGGGCAGTAGAACCAGAAAGCCGTAGAAAACCGTGGCCTGTCTTTGTGTTGCAGAGGAAATGCACGCAGAGCTCTGCTACGCCGAGTGCCTTCTGCAGAAAGCAACGCTCACTTTCATACAGGTCAGAGTCACTGGTATTAAATCAGCTCAACGTATTTGAATCATGTTCATCCCTCAGTAAAATCACTGATGACAACATGTTACCCACTGATAAATAAATAAATAAACTCTCCTTCATGTAGGATGAATTTTTGTAAATTAAGTGGTTTTCTTGCAGTAGTTTTTGTGGAAGTTTCCTCTTTGTCCACTTTGCTTCATCACTTGTTTCTTAAAGTCAAAATGTTTTTTGAAGTTAAAGCCAACAGGTGTGAAGGTTCTGCCAACTTTTAAATCTGACAGGAAAACCTAAGATTTAACGGCTGCTGATGTCAGTTTAGTGTAAATAAACTCGTCTTTTCTGTCCTTATTTTCCAGGATGAGAACATGATCAGTTTCATAAAAGGAGGAATCAAGATTCGAACAAGCTACCAAATCTACAAGTGAGTGATGAAGGAACAGCTGAAGCTGCCTCCATCAGAGACATCGTTTACATAATATAACATCAGGCTCTGTGCTTCTCGTCAGGGACTGTCAGAACCTGCTGAACATCAGCCAGGACAAGGCGGAGCAGTTAAATTCGTTCAAACAGTTTGAGGGCGGAGTCAAGCTGGGCATCGGCTCGTTTAACCTGGTGGGTGAAGAAAATGGTTAAATTAATTTAAACTGATGTGAAAGTTTTCTAAAGCGTTTCTGTTTTTAAACACAGAAAAGCTCATATTTTGGATTCTGCTGCGTTTGTCACTGTATCATCAGCATATCGGCAAACATTCCTAAAGTTTTACAGTACAAAGGATACAAATTATAATTAGGTGTACATTATTAATTAATTCATTCAGTTTGATTTCTTTGTTCATTTTAAATGTCTCTCCTTCCTCAGTAGATTTTAAGGTTGTTGGAGTTTATTGGGTTTTTAAACACAAACACATCTTTAAATGTTTGCCCATTTTTTGGATTCTGCTGCGTTTGTCACTGTATCATCAGCATATCGGCAAACATTCCTAAAGTTTTAAAAGATTTAAATTATACACTATAAATTATATTTAGCTGTACTTTGTTAATGAATCTTTGAATCTGATTCTTTGTTCCAGATGTTGTCTCTCCTTCCTCAGAAGATTTTAAGGTTGTTGGAGTTTATTGGCTTCTCAGGAAACAGGGTGAGTTTTTCGTCTGCAGATATTTCATTAAAGCAGGACCCGAATGTCCGTGTCAGGAAGAGAGGTGGCCGTCTCACTGCCCGTTTCTCCTGCAGGGTTTTGGTTTGTCTCAGCTGAGGGAGGGAGCAGCCAGCCAAAGTCTGCGCTCCATAATCTGCGTGCTGACGCTGCTCTTCTATAACACATACGTGTCGCTGATCCTGGGTAGGAAATTTCTACAAATCTCTATTTGTTTGACGTCCTAACCTGAATATTTCACTTCATCGGTTTTCAGTTGCTTGTTTCTGTTTTTGATGTAAGGAACTGGGGAGGGGAACCTGACGGAGGCCGAAGCTCTGCTGGAGCCGTACCAACAAAAATACCCCAAAGTGAGACCAACAGAGACTCTGTTCGATTACGTATTGATCCTTTGGGATTGATAGATGGATTTATGGTTTTTGTTTCTTTCAGGGCTCCATAATCCTCTTCTACTCTGCTCGCGTCGCCACCCTGCGAGGAAACTTTGAGAAGGTTCGTTCATTTAGACTCTCAGAGCTGTGCAGTATAAACGTTTATTTTTACAACATCTTGATCCGTTTATTGCAAAGTGACCTTAAAAACTGAAACTCAACCTATAACGGCTTCGTTTTGGCTGTTAATCTGTCACTACTCACAATCAGAGCCCAAAAATAAACCCAGCAGTTTTTAGAAGACGACTAATTTCAATCCCTAATTTTTATTGACACTTTTATGAAACAAACAGGAAAAAAGACTCGATAGTGAAAGGTGATATTTGTAAAACCTGCTAGTTTGTAATGTTTTCTAACATAATCTGTTCTTATCTAGAAAATATTCATTCATATCATGATCCACGTTTTCCCCATCACTGATCTCATCTCTAACATAAACCTAAATAAAGTATTACATTTATAAATTTAATCTATTTACTGTTGTATTTTCTATTCTTACATTATTTTTGACAGAAGTAAGAGCAAAACAGAAAAAGTTTGGCATGAAGTTCATCTTCCTGAACTTTTAAAAGATTTTTAAACTTTATTTTTTAATAACACCTTCCTCTAAATATTAGATCTTTGGTATTTTAAAAGTTTTATTCCACGTTCGTACAGCAGGTCCATCCGGTTGTGTCACTGCAGCCTGAATGGCCCGAATCTTTCAACGAAGACAAATCAGATGTTTTTTCCACTTTTATATGTGGAATTAAATTTGATATGTATCTTATAGTTTGCAAAGTGTCTTCAGTCACATTTCATCCAACTTAAGTCATCACTGAGACGCAACATAAACAATGGCTTAGATATGTAGCTATATATGTTTAAAATTTACTTGAGCTTCTAAAACACAACTTTCTCCAAATATTAAAGTATTTACTTGTAGTACAGATCATCGTTTTTACCAATATAGCAAAAAAAGTTTCTTCTTTTTAAAACCATGTTTCTAAAGAAATATTGAAAAACATCTATTTACTCTTTCATAATTTTTGTAAGATTTCAAGCTAAATATTCCCAGAACGTTTCAGATGATGCGTCTGATTTCTCCCTGCTTGTTGTGTAACTTTTACCAGACGCTGAAACTTTAAGCTCGTTGTTTAAAATGTTTGAGCCGCATGTTTAAAGATCCGCTCTCTGCTGAAGGCGAAGTCCAGGTTTGAGGAGTGCATCAGCAGCCAGCAGGAGTGGAAGCAGATCCACCACCTGTGTTACTGGGAGCTGATGTGGACTCACTCCTTCCAGCAGGAGTGGCAGCAGGCGTACCGATACGCTGACCTGCTGTGCAAAGAGAGCCGCTGGTCAAAGGTCAGCCCTGCTGCAGGTCCTCACAGCCTGAACAAACTCAGAGGCTCATCGGTGTGTCTGTTGTTTGTAGGCGATCTATATGTACCAGAAAGCAGCGATCCTCAGCATGATGACGGAAGATGACGTGAGGAAGACTGGAGAAGACATCGTAGAAGTCTTCAGGTTGTTTTTATTCCACATCCATAAACCGTCATTATATCCGTCGTAACAAACAAAAAAACTCAAAGACAAGCAGGAATGTTTTAATTGTCTCAGTTAACGAAGGCCAGACATGTTTGGAAGTAAACTTGAAAAGGTTTTTCACCATGAAATCACTTTTTCTAAAGATTAAATAAAGAAATAGATATTTGTTTGATGGTGTAAAAACTTTCATTGTATGGCAAAATAAGCTTAAAAAAGTGAGTGAAAGCATTTTGAAAACCTCTTTTTCAGTCATAATTTGTGGCGGGAGTGGAACTAAAAATGTGTCTGTTGAGGTTTTGTTTGTCGTTGCTGCAGGGTTGAACGTTTTTTAGGCTCAGTGGTGTGAAGATGTTTCTGTGTGCAGGCAGGTGGAGGGGCTGAAACAGCGGCTGGCCGGAAAGTCGATTCCCATGGAGAAGTTCGCAGTGAGGAAATCCAGACGCTACAAAGCTGCTCAGCCCGTCCCGCTGGTCATCCCCGCTCTGGTACGCAACAAACACCAGCTCCACTGAAACTGGGAACAGATGGAGAAAAATGGAAAAATTCTCAGTCATAAAGATGAATTTGTGTTTTTGTCTGTAGGAGATGATGTACGTCTGGAACGGCTTCAACATCGTTGGGAAGAGAGCCGACTACACCGAGTCCCTGCTGGTCACCATCGAGAAAGCTGAGCAGCAGCTTCGCAACGACACAAGTGAGCTCAACAATTCACTTCTGTTAGAAACATCCAGTGATGTAACGGTTACCCATGGAAACATGAAAACCAGATCTGCTCTCCTCTATGGAGAGAAAAAACATGGCAAACGCGATATAAACTGCAAAACAGAAAAATAAATGCAACAGAAAAAGGCTGCAGCTCAAAAGGCTGCAGCTCAAAAGGCTGCAGCTCAAAATGCTGCAGCTCAAAATGCTGCAGCTCAAAATGCTGCAGCTATGCCTGCTGCAATGAACTATAAATCAATTAATCACATGATAAATTAAAATGAACTCAATCATTTCCTTTCGCATGGTTTATTATTTTTCTCTTTTCTTTCTTTCTACCAAAATCTGGATGATAAAAGTTTTCAGTCTGGTGTTTTGGTCTCAACTGACTTTTACAGTGAAATCAACCGAATAAAAACGATATTAGCTGATCAACTTTTGAAAGCCTTACAGGAGTTAACACACAAAAGCTGTTTTGAGGATGTGAGGAAGTAAAATTCAAACGGAGCATCATCCAGCTTTACGTCAGAGTCTTTATGAGCATGCTAGCATGCTAACATGCTAACAGTTTGCTTTCCGTCTCTCAGATCCGTCCGAGTTCCACCCAGATGACAGCGGCCTGGTCCAGATGCTGAAGGGTCTCTGCCTGAAACATCTGGGCAGGTTGCTTCAGGCTGAGCTCTGCTTCACACAGGTCCTCTCCAGGTAACACACACACACACACACACACACACACACACACAGATAACCTGGTTTAGCCTCTCCCTGCTGCTGTTTACGTCCTCCTGGTAAAGCTCACATCTGTGTGTGTTTGCAGCGAGAGTCGGATCAGATACGACCACTACCTGATCCCGTTCTCCCTCTATGAGTTGGGTCTGCTGTACAAACAACAGGGCGACTTCGTTAAGGCCACCTCTTACATCGAGAAAGCCAAGTAAGTTCATCTTTGATTCAACAGACATTAATTACATTTAAAACCTGTTAACATGTTTTAAATGAACACAAGTTTTGCTTTAATAAATCCTCAGTTTTGCCTTAAAAAAACCAAACATGAGCTGCGTTTCCATTACAAATGTGCACAAAATTTTGTCAATGTTTCGCTAATGTCAAAAACAAAACCATAATTTCACAAATACAATGTTTCCATTAAATAAGAAACTCAACAAAAATAACATGTGAAGAAGTTTTACTCGACAAATCATTTAAAAACTTTCTGCGCCATCATCCTCCAGCTACTTCCTGTTGTCTTCTTTGTGGTTTTCGCCAGAAGCAATATCTGCTTGTTGATTAAGACTCGTGATGTGAAAAAAGTGTTTCCATTACAGTTTGAGAAATAAACCAAGTTTGATACGGCCAAAAAAAAAACACCTCATCTTATCAATAAAACATATAAAAAAACAAGAGTTTTTTAGAAATAAATAAGCTAATTTATTTTCAAAATGTCAAATCGCTCCAGTTTGTCATATGAGACAATGTTTCATCTTAGGATCACACCTGATAGTCCAGTTGAGACCCGGTTCAAAACTAATTGAAAAATATGTTCCCCTCCTCACCTCTGGGGGCGCTGCACCAAGAACCACTGGAGGAAACATCTCAAAACCCTAGAAGAAGACACTGAACGCAGCGTCCTTCCTCACAAAATATAAACAGAAATGGAGCAGCGTCAGATTTTATCAGTTGGAGGATTTGTCTTCAGTCTGGTTAAAACCATGAGCCGTTTCTCCCGCTAGTGCTAAACTCGCTAACGTTTGTTTTAGTTGCACCAAACGAACCGGATCTTCTAGTCAAACGAACCAGAGTTTGAACAGAGGGCTCATGTGAACGCAGCCTTGGGTCGCCTTTGCTCTGACGTAAAACCACACACCTCTGCAGCTTATCTCTGTCCTGCTCCTGTAGTAAACTGCTGTAAAAACATCAACAACTGAGATATAAAGTTATTCATCTGAACTTTGACCTGAAAGAGTCACCGTGTGACGTAGCAGCTTTTAGTGCCTATTTAGGATCACAGAATCGGTTTATCTGCAGTGACTGACGTTTGTTCTCCGTCAGGACGAACTACAAGGATTACTCCATGGAGTCCAGGCTTCACTTCAGGATCCACGCGGCGCTCAGCAGCCTGAAAGGCTCGCCTGTCAGCACGCCGTGACCTCAGCTGGAAAACGTCCGGTTCACGTCACGCTTCCGCTTCAGCATTCACACCAACAGATCGCTTCAGCATTCACACCAACAGATCGCTTCAGCATTCACACCAACAGATCGCTTCAGCATTCACACCAACAGATCGCTTCAGCATTCAGATTCACACCAACAGATCGCTTTCCGCTCCATAAACCCGTCAGCCTGATGAAGCTTTAGATTCAGGCTCAGCTTTCTCATTGTCAGTTTGTTCAGAAGTTAATGATCCATTAAGGAAGTCGGATTGAATTTGTTCACAAATGTTTCTGCTGCATCTTTGATTCACCAAAAAGCACAAAGTGAAAACCAAACTTATTATTCCAAAAAAGACCAAAACTTCTGGGAAAAATGACAAGTGGGATTTTAACTGCCTGTCTTTGGCTTTATTTTACTTTAATTATTTTTTAAAAACACAAATCATGACCCTACACTACAATAACTAATAATAAAATTTGTGATAAACTGCTAAATTCCAGTACAGATAGTGAAACCCTAAAGTCTCTGTAACAGGAGAAACGTTTATTTCTAACTGCTTTAGTTCTGTAGAAACGCGTCATGCAGTCACAGCCTTTTCACCAGTGGTGGCCTAAATAAATAAGCTGAATTCACTCATTCCAAGCTCACACACACACACACACACAAACAAGCTGCTACGCACATCTGAAGGAGATTACACACACAAACGGCGGTAATTGCACATTTTTAGCAGCAATAGAAGATTTTTATGTTCTTGTTATTGGATGATTTGTCAGGTTTTTGTTGGGTTCATGCTGAGAAGCCGAAGGCTTTGATTTATTGTTGAGTTTCTCAAATACAGAGCAGCTTTTGATTCAGTCAAGGTTTTCTGCACCATTAGTTAGCTTAGCGTCTAGCTAAGCTAGCTTGGCTAAAGCTAGCTGTAGAGGTGGCTAACACCAGTTCTTAGTCACCAGGATCTCTGTAACATTATAAATGTTGGAAACCCAACATTATTGTCTTTACTAGTTCAAACACGTCAGCATTAACATTAATATGTTTAAATGTGGAGTTCCACAAAGTTGTGTACTCGGTACGCTATGTTTTAAATTTACGTTTAAGATTAAATAAATATTTAAATTTCTGTTATAATTTAATTACAGAAGATTACAGTTCCCCAGACAAGCTCACCAACTTGTCTTTAAGTAAGTGATGAAGAGTCGATGACGGTTAATGACAGATGAGAAATAAAAAGCATCTCAGTGTTACTTGGTACCAGAACGTCTGTCGTTAGCGGCTCAGTATTACATGGTACAATCAATCTACTCTTTGATCAGCACATTGAAAATACTAATAATAACAGGAAGTTTGACTAACGAGATTAAAAAATTATATTTTCAGGGAACAAAGAAACTCAGAGGCCTTTTAGGAAACATGTTTTAGAACAAAACTCCTGATTTTAGATTATGGAGCAACAGGATGTTGATGTTGACACTTTTGCAGCTTTGTCTCTGAGAAACCATAACCGTCACCCTTCTGGCTGCTCAGCCCTCGAAGGATTGAAGCTTTAATTTTATTTTATTTTTGTAAACTTTTGAACAAATGAACGTTGCCTTTTGTTTTCTGTTTTGTTGCTTTATAGCCTGAAATTTGCTGTAAATCCTACAGATGTTTAGATCAAAAGTGTAGGAGTATGGAGAGCGACTTTATAGTGTATCGTAAATGTAAATCTATTTTCTCCAAAACCATGGATCAAAAATAATAATAATATATATATATATATATAAAAATTCCCCTCTCACCCTCCGTGGGTGGTCTCTTTCATCCTCTGAGCTCGGGTCCTCTACCAGAGGATATATATATATATATATATATATATATATATAATGGTTTTTCTGTGAGGGAGGAAAAGCTTTGAGAGGTTTGTGGATTAATAGAAATGATGAAAATGCAGTTTTTTTGTCGTTTTCCGTGAGCTTGAAGTCATTTCTGCTTCCATTTGAACCGTCAGAGACGCTGATCCTCTGAATGTTTGGAGACCAAACCCTGTTTCTCTGTTTCCTGTCGTAAACGTCTGGATGTTCAACAACTCGATGCTTCAACAGCAGAAAACGTTGAAAACTTTGTTCGTAGTGATTATGAAGGAGTCGTGGCAACGAACACAGAGTCTCAGTGAACATCGGGAGAAATGCTCCTGGAAACAGGAAAGGTCAAAGGGCAAACTCCAGTTTTTTATTTTTAATTCAGTTGTGATAAAACTAATGGGATATTTTATTTCCTTTTTTTAACCAATAGAAGTTTTTCGTTGACTGTCTGGTTTAGAATAAATGGTGTCATAAAATCTTGTTTATTTTTTTAGACAAATTACTGAACAACAGGATTTCTGTGGTTAAATGATGAGTTGAGGATAATTTATGGTTTATTGATGGCGGTTGGGAGAAAATTATGAAGTTAACAGTTTGACTGGTAAAGCAAAGTTTTTCATCATGAATCGCCTCTTTGTTGATAAAAATGATTTTAAATGATCAGGAAGTGAAATGAAGCCTAAATAATTACGGCTTCCTGGAAACCAGTGGAGTAAAGATTGTTCAAAATGAGACATTAAAGCTGCAGTATGTCATGAAAAATACATATTTTTACATTTTTGTTGAAACTGTTACCATGCTGTGACAGTTTAGTATAACACAGATAATCGGTTAAACATAAATTAATTAATCTCCCTGCCTTCTCCCAGTGCTAACTAAAAACAACCAATCAGAGCCAGGAGGTGGGTCTTGGCGCTGTCAATCATCCTCTATGTAACGCTGCTCATCCGCCTCTCTCTATGCTAGTTAGCCTAGCCACCGATGACAACAGATGAACGGTTTTCCTGTAACAATAAGCTGTTTCTCTGCCATCAGCACATTTAACAGCGCGTACATGAGGTTTATTGACAGCGCTAAGCTCCGCCTCTTGGCTCTGATTGGTTACTGTTGGTGCATTTCTTCAGACAGCAGCTCAGAGAGGAGACAGAAACACATCCTAATGAAAATGACGTACTGCAGCTTTAAATGTTTTTTCATTTCCGTTTGACTCGTTTCGTTGCCACGACCTTTGACTCCTGTCAGTGTCTCTTGGTGTTTTGTCCGGGTGATGAATGTCGTGCCTCTGTGTGTGTCTGGTCTCCACTTCCAGGATGTTGCATGTTATTTAATCTAATCTTTGTTTTATTTTCCTGTTGACATCAAGGCCTTTTACTCTGGTGATCATTTGGTGCAATAAAGTGGAAACAGGAATATTGTTCAGTTCGTGTGTGTTGGTGTTTTTATTTTTCTTTCTTTTGATTGTGTCGTTTTTAGAGGTTTAATTAGAGCAACAGAAGAAACATTTATCTGAAAACAAAAACCATAGATGTTGGTAACAGAATTATCTTAATGATTTGATAATTTGGGAGAAAATCTAGATTGAAAAAAGACTTTGAATGATAAATTTCTCTTTTTTTGCAGCTCTGATAATCAAGCACATTTTATCTCGTTTCCTCATCATCCAACGTAGTTTGAAGAACTTTCCGTTAGCTGAACGACTCAAGAGCGAAGCGACTCCGTCCTCGCAGAGCGGATCGTTTTTAACTCCAGCGAATCACAGCTTGCTTTAACCGGGGTTCTGTGGAGGGTTTGTGAGAGGTCACTATCCTACGGTGCCTTTACTTTTAAAGAAGCTCGGTTCTGGTGTTTTGTTGAGAACTTACCTGTTTCCATCTGTCATCAACACTGAAGAAGACCGTCGTATCAAGATGGCCGACGCCCTGCGCTCCTCTTCCACCAGTGGTCGCCGCCATGTTTCTTTGTCTCCGGTTTAACGAGACGCAGGGCGACATCACGGTGCAGAAGGAACCAGATTTGGTGTTCAGGAGCAAAATTCAAACTTTTAAAATTACTTTCATGAACCAGAACATCTTCAGACCACGGCTGCAAACTTTGTCACAAAATTTAACAACTATTTTAGTTCCCACTGGTGACTTTTTACCAAAAATGCAACTAGCGACAAATCTAGCATCTTTTTATTTTCATATTACTGGAGACTTTAGCAAGACGAGAAATTACCAATCACTCTGCAGCTAGCAACAAGTGGATGTAGTCAGTCTGACTCATAAATATGAATTTTAATGTTTCTTTCTCTGAAAATGTTGCATCCAAATAAACTCCTGATTTGATTCACTGATTCATCTCCTGTTTTTGGCTAATTTTGATATCATATAAAACTGATTTATTTAGTGTAGGTTCAGGCAAAGTATTTACATTATTAAATAATTTCATAAAGTATTTTTGTATTTTTAATCACTTTGAACCTGAATTTGTTCTACTGTTTGAATCACATGAGACCAAATATGCAAATTAGGCGATGACATCATCTAGCGGATGGTTTGTTTCACTGATACAAACTTGTGTCATAATTTTCTAATTATAATTTTTAGCCATTGTTTACATCCAGATTCACTGTCTGGCTGCTTTTGTTGCAGAATTATGATGAAATTTCTCACGTCTGTGACAAAAGTCGGATAAAATGCGATAAAATCCGTTCAGATTAAACGATTTGAAAACTGTCGGAAACGTAGCCGGCAGTAATATTTTAGAAATGAGAGTTTCTCTGCCTCATCTTGCTCATGCATCGATCTCCTGTGGGTAAGCTACTGCCTGCTGACACCGACTCCACAGAACCCCACGTTAAAAGCCGAACTCCTCCTTTAAGGAAACGTTAAAACTGCAAATCACAGGTTTTCCTGCTTTTCTCTTCCAGACTCTTGAACATTTGGAGAAACTTTGCTGTGATTTTGTTTTAACCGTCCGAGTTAAAAACTCGTCGGATTCATCGAATCGTCACAGAAACACGAAGCGTTTCGACACCAGGGACAGAAAAGTTCTGCGTTTTTAGGAAACATTATGTAAAAACTGCCAAAGTAAATTTAGTGAAGCTTTGCTGAGAATCAGAACTAATTAATTTAAGGTTCCTGTGGTTATTTGTCTCTCTCTTCTGTGTAAATAAGAGATTAATTTCATGTTCTGACATATTTAACATTATAAACGTGCTACAAGCCATACATTTTACTTGTTGCTTTTATATCTTTAACAAAATGCTTCCTTCTTTCCTTCATTTTTATGTTGTTTTATTAGTTGAAATAATTCAATTTCCTAGAAAACTCTTTATTTTTTAAGCAATTTTAGAGATTTATATGAATATTTTTGCATGGTTTTGAGCTCATTGTTTCGTTTTTTAACCTAAAAATCGTCTATTTTCCAGTTAAATTATGTTTATAAAGATTTCTGAACTAATTGTTGAGAAAATGTTTATTTTTATCTTTTATTTCTAAGCTTAGCCTTTAATTGTGGTGAAGGATGCAAACTTTCACAAACTGTTATTCTGTCATAATTCGTTGTATTCTGAGCTGTAAACATGAAATTAAATTAAATCAGTTAATCTGAACACATTTTGACTCTTTTTTGTGTGTTTTTGTAACATTTTCTGCACATTTTGTGACTTTTACACCTGAAATGATCTTTTATTCTTTAATTGTGTATTTTCCTTCAGTCTGAAGAGTCAAAATGAGCTTCATTGGTCACAACTGTGGTAAAATCAGCATAGATGCATAAACTTTAGAAAGAGTAAAATAAAAAAAACCTCTTCAAATGTCTCAAAGTTTAATAAGTCCTTCAAAAAATGTTCTGAATTGTGTCTCAATCCTTTTGGAAACAGGATTTCATGCGTTCAGCTGCAGCTGTTTATTTTAGCTGAAGCGTCTCAGTGATTTTGAAATTGTCTTTATTTATTCAGTGTTGGACGTTACCCTGTTTGTCAGGGTTAGGAAACGCTGCAGCTGCACACAAACATTTCAGACTTTTGATGCAAAATAAAGAACAATTATGAAGAAAGTTCATGACGATGACTGAAGATGTTTCAGACTCATGCTTGTCAAGCATTACAGTAACTAAATATGAATTTTCTTAATAAATAGGAAATCTCAGGTTTTTATTTGTGTTTCCAGAAGCAGGAAGGAACTTTTCTGAAGTTTTGACTCAAGAGCAAAAAGCTCATTTCTATAAAATATTTCAGCAACAAAACATTTAAATTCTTCACATGATAAAAACAGAATAAATAAAAAAAAATGTGGAAATTTGAAACAGTTTGAAAAGTAAAACATTTGCTAGGAAAATACTAATACATTTTGAGATTTATCTCAAATCTGCTTAAAAACAAAAACATGGCACTTTGTGAGTTCGAAAAGTCAAAAGATTTACTAAAAAAATATCTATAATTTTGAGATTAATCTTTTTGATTTTTGAAACTAAAAAATTCAGAAAGTTTAAAATTTGTGTCTTTTTAAACTCATGTTTTCTAGAAAAAAAACAACAAAGAAACTTCAGTTTGAAAAATCTAACATTCTTTGAATTTTGAAATTCCCAAAACATTTTCTAGAAAATTCCAGGGCTTAATTTCTGGGGTTTTTTTTTTTTTTTTGGCAGAAATGTACTGATTTTTTCTGCCTACAGTGACCGTAATTCGCCGTAGTACTGCAATATGCTGTCAGTTTTCAAACATTTAGCTACTTCAAATAATCCAAAGAGTTTTAATTTAGCTGTTTTATGCAGTGAATATAAACCTCTGGTTGTTCCAAATTTGATCAAATAAACATGATTCTGTTGTTGTTTTCTAGGAGTTGACCCAGCTTCCATTAAGTCTTAATGAAGTTTCTGTGACATATTTTGGTTAAAAACAATTTGAGCCAAAACAGAAATCCACGATACTGCGCCTGTTAGCACCCAGCTAGTTAGCATCCAGCTAGTTAGCATCCAGCTAGTTAGCATCCAGCTAACTGTAAACAAAGCAGCTCTGAAACTTCAGAAACTCCCGGATGAAATCATCGGACGGGTTTAAACGTTTGAGCAGAAAATATTTGTTCCCTCTTACGGGAATCTGGGTGTCCCACTCCCTCATCCTGACAGACGGATCAATCGTGTTGACAGTGACGGGACAAGCTAATGATTGATGGAGACACCAGGAGCCAGCAGAGGAAGCGTCAGATTTTAATCTGAACAGGAACGAGCTGCTGCTGGATCCTCGAACCATCAGGATGAGATCAGACTCCTTCCTCCTGCTGTTTCTCCTCATCGTTGGCTCTCAGGCGGTGAGTTGGGCTGATTTATTCCCGTTCAGGTCAGACAGAATAATTATAAAATTACCCAAGCTATAATATAACAGATTATCATTTTTATTCCTTTCCATATTAAAGGTTGATCATTAATATTTAGCACTCAGGACAAATGAAGCTATAAAACTTGTTTTTGCCTCACATAATCTCTGTGGAGATGTGAAGCTTCTAAAACATTTAAATATACTGAACTTCCTGTCGCTCTGGCTGTATGTTTAGGGTCGTTGAGTTGCTGGGAGGTGAACTTTGACCCCAGCCTCAGAGGTTTAATTGCAGGTTTTGTCCTTTAATAGACCCATTAATTCATCTGACCGCAGCACAGTGTGACCGTGTTTCAGTGAGGGAATGACGGGTTCAGATCAGAGGTGGTCACACTTATTCTAATGCGCTAATCCGCTAAGAGTGGAGCCAATTCTTTGTTAGCATGTTATCATTTTTGCTAACTTTGAAAATGTTTAGGTCTCTTAAATGAATTTTCCAGATAAATAGTTTTGTAAACTTTCAGCAGATTGAAAGTCTGTATTGAAGTTTATGTCGATTTTTAAGGAACAAATCTGCTTCAACTCAAACGCTTTAGTTCATAGCTAAAAAAAAGCTTCCAAAGTATAAAAATATACATTTTGTAAACAATCAACACAAAATCAGTTAATTATCTGGACTTTTTGTCTTTCAGTCCCGTAAAATGTATTTAGATGCTTTATATTATTTAAATACTAATTAACAACTTATTTAAAAAAAAAACTGCTCCAGATTCAATATTTTTCACAACCTAAGAATATTTACTTAGTTTGTCAGGATATCTATGAAATGTTGCTAATAATGCGTCTAAGCTGCTTTTAAAAATAATCAAATATCATCTGCGTAATGCTTAACATTTAGCTTCTGTGCTAAGCTATTGGGATGTTTGTTTGTGAATCTGTGTAATCTTTAGAGTAATCCATCAGACTCAGAGCAGCCAAAGGCCATAGAGCAGCAACCCGAACAGAGCCGACAGAAACCGAAGTTTCCGAAACCAAAACCAACCCCAGTGGCCACAACGCCTGCCCCAAAAACCACCAAAGCACCCGACACGGACGAGTTCTTGGGTCCACAGGAATGTCTGGACAAAAAGTAAGTTAGAGAGTCACCAAAAGTTTCTGTAACCTACTAACAAAGGTCTCAATAAATAGTTCATCAGGCTTTCTGGGTTTATGGGAATTAAACTATTGGCAAATGAGCTGTTAGGCTAATAGGCGAATAGTGGAGGGAAATGTTTTGCTAAGCACAGTAGCGCTTTTGCCAACTTTCAAAAAATTAGCTCACTTAGCTTCTACAGTTCCAGAGTAAACAGTTTAAAACATATTTAAACTGTGATTTCTTACCACAGTTAGCAAAACTCTGTAAAACTGAAACCAAGAATGAAAAATCTGTTTATCTTTCTGAATCACAAACAATACAAATGATGCCCTATTGGGGGCGATATAACATGTTTTACTGACACATAATTGGTTTTAGCGCTGTAACATTAGCTTCTGCTAAATACCATGTTGGTATAGTGCTTAACATTAGCAGGACTAATATTTATATGCTTTAGAGTTAGCGCAGCTAACTCTTTAGCTATCAGAGAGCCCACCACTGGTCTAGCATAATGGCTAACACCACTAGTCTAGCATAAGGGCTAACACCACTAGGCTAGCATAATGGCTAACACCACTGGTCTAGCATAATGGCTAACACCACTGGTCTAGCATAATGGCTAACACCACTGGGCTAGCATAATGGCTAACAGGCTGTTCAGCCAGAGAAATGTTAGCTAGCAGCCTCAGGTTGCTAACAGGAAGCTGGTGTTCCTCAGGCTGACTCGAGCGTCGTGTGGCCTGGTGTTTTGCCCTCCGTGGCAGCGGTGCGTTGAAGGTCAGTGTACCTGCAAACTTCCCTACCTGTGTCCCACTGAGGGCATGAAACCGGTCTGTGGGCAGAACCACAGGACCTTCACGTCGTACTGTCAGGTAAGACCAGACTGAGACCGTTCTTTACGGCTCGTTTGAAGACTCGATAAGAGACTCTTTGCTTTAAGAAATGCTGATTTGTTTCCCAGGCAATGGCTTCCTCATGCCGGACCAAGAAGCCCGTAGTGTCCCACTTTGGAAATATCTGCACAGGTTCTGCTTCACAGATACATTTACAGCCTTACCTCAGTTGGTTTTCATACTAATAAATGATATTTTCTTTATTTTGTGACTACAGTGAACATTCCCAAGTACCAGAGCTTCCTGGACAAAGACACGGGACTGATCAGGGTCTTCCTTCCTAACGCCACCGGAGGAAGAGAGAACTTACTGTTGTGCCAGCAGGACTGGGACATGGCAGCTGCTAATGTGGCCTGCAGGGAGCACAAACACCCACTGTGAGGAGATTTAGCTACATTTACATCCATGAAGGCACAGCAAGCTAACCAAACCATCGTTTATTGTGACAGAGGGGCAGCGTCTGCAGACTCTGTGGACTACAACTCCCTGACGCCCAACACAGATCTGCCCAGCCGCTGCGTCAGCGTCCACTGCCAGGGCTACGAAATGTCTCTGGCCGAGTGTGAAATCTACGACAAGATGGCGGCTGACGGCGGGATGGTGGCTGCAGCGACCTGCTATAAGGAAACACCTGAAGGTCAGTCTGAGGTCATAAAGGTTCAGAAAACACCTGGAAGCTGCCTTACAGAGAGGTTTCTCAAAGAATCGCCTTGCCTCGCTCATTACGGAGAAAGAAGGACAAACGTTGACACTGTTTGGTCACTTCGTCTTCTTCAGGAGCTAACCTGTCGTTCAACTCAGAGTTTAACTGGTATTGCTATAAACAACAGTAATCATAAAATGCTGCTAACTCACTTCACAAAACGGAAGTCCTCCAGTCCACTAGGGGGAGTCTGGAGTCAGTAATATTACCTGCATAAATGTTCTGCTGTTCTATAACATTGTAAAAGATCAAATTTGAGACATATTTTCTTTCTTCTTTTAATTTTCTTTTTCTTCTTTGGTTAAAACCTGGTTCCTTATGATTTGGTGGCCGACTCCCCCTGGTGGCCTGGAGGACTTCCATTTTGTGGAGCAAATTTGCAGCATTTTCGTTTTGTATTTTTTTGTGTTTTGAAGTTTGCTGTGTGTTTCTTTAGTCAGATGTTGGTCACTGAGCGTCTTTCAGGCTCCCACATATTTTATTTGGAATGCTGAAAAAGTCATGAAATACAATAAAATCTGCAATCCTGTCAAATTACTCGTAATAACTCATAAGGTTGAAGCGATGTTACCGCCTCCATCTCCTGTTTGTGTTTCTGCTGCAGAATGCGGCTTCACCTGTGCAAACCAGAAATGCATTTTCCGCAACCAGACATGCGACGGAGTGGACGACTGCGGCGACCGCAGCGATGAGATGTGCTGCAAAAGTAAAACCCGAACACACAGATTAAAAAACAAACATGCAGAGGTTTTCCCTGAGCGACGTTGTTTGTCAGGCTGCAGGAACGGAGCTTTCCACTGCCGCTCCGGCGTCTGTCTGCACAGAAACGCGGTCGGAGACCAACTGATCGACTGCCTGGACGGAGCCGATGAAGCTCAGAAACGAGTGGAAGCTTTCAGTAAGACGGCAAATCAGTCCAATGAGCTGGGTTTATTTATCATCTGACAAAGTTTAAAACACTGATACGAAAGTTTAATTAAAGTTGTTTTGTTGTGAAGGCAAAACTTTAAACAGTTTTTAGCAGACAGTCTTAAACAAAGGTCTGAGGAAACCTGGGTAATCGCACTAAAACAAGCATTTATCAGCCAGTCAGAGTCTCTCAGGACAGACAGACTGACCAGGTCTGAACTGGACCCTCTGGACTGCAGATGGTCCGGTTCAGACCCTGCAGACGGTCCGGTTCAGACCCTGAAGAGGGTCCGGTTCAGACCCTGCAGACGGTCCGGTTCAGACCCTGAAGAGGGTCCGGTTCAGACCTGCAGACGGTCCGGTTCAGACCCTGAAGAGGGTCCGGTTCAGACCTGCAGACGGTCTGGTTCAGACCCTGTAGACGGTCCGGTTCAGACCCTGCAGACGGTCCGGTTCAGACCTGCAGACGGTCCGGTTCAGACCCTGCAGACGGTCCGGTTCAGACCTGCAGACGGTCCGGTTCAGACCTGTAGATGGTCCGGTTCAGACCCTGTTCCGGTTCAGACCCTGGTCCGGTTCAGACCCTGGTCCGGTTCAGACCCTGGTCCGGTTCAGACCTGCAGACGGTCCGGTTCAGACCCTGGTCTGGTTCAGACCCTGGTGGTCCGGTTCAGACCCTGGTCCGGTTCAGACCCTGGTCCGGTTCAGACCCTGGTCCGGTTCAGACCCTGGTCCGGT